GAGCTTAGGTACTGCTTCAACTTCTAGAAAGACTACTCACGTTCTTCTGTCCAACGGAAATCTTTTGGCCGCTTAAGGGCTTTGAAGAAAGGGAGATAGTGATCCGTGGATTTGAACATAAATTTTCTAAGGGTGGCTATTCTCCCGATGAGTCATTGCACCTCTTTATGGGTCTGAGAAGATGGCATGTCAAGGATGGCCTTTATCTTCTTCGGATTCACTTTGATCCCTCTCTGTGTTACCATGAACCCTAGGAACTTCCCAGAGCCGACCCCGAAAGCACACTTGGTTGGGTTTAGCTTCATCTTGTATTTTCTAAGGGTGTCGAAGACTTCGCGAAGGTCAACTAAGTGATGGTCAGCTTTCTTGCTCTTTATGAGCATATCATCGACGTACACCTCTACATTCTGACCGAGCTGTTCTTTGAACACCTCGTTCACTAGTCGCTAATAAGTGGTGCTGGCATTCTTAGGGCCGAAGGGCATTACCTTGTAGCAGTACAGACCTCATCCGGGTGCTTTCGAATTTGGTTGTAACCTAAGAAGGCATCCATGAAGCTCAGTAGCTCGTGCCCCGCCGTTGCATCGACAAGTCGGTTGATCCTTGTTAGGGGGAAGCTGTCTTTGGGACAGGCCTTATTTAGGTCGATGAAGTCGATACAGATCCTTCACTTCTCGTTGGCCTTCTTCACCATTACTATGTTGACCAACCAGTCGGGGTACTTAACTTCTCAAATAAAGTCGGCCTCGAGTAGTTTCTGTACTTTGTCGGTGATCACTTTCCACCGCGCCGTGGCGAAGCTCCTCTTTTTCTGCTTCACAGGTCGGTAGCATGGGTCGACGTTCATCCGATGTGTGATAACTTCAAGGTCAATCCCAAGCATGTCCACTACCGACCAAGCGAATACGTCAACGTTGTTCCTCAGTAGTTGTACAAGTTCTTCTCGGAGGTGGTTGTCTAGTAGGGAGCCAACTTGGACTGTCTTCTCGGGATCTTCTTCAGAGAGGGTGACCCAGATGAGGTCTTCCATGTGTTGACCACACTATGCCTTTACTTCATCGCATAAGTCATAAGCCTCCGCCATTAGTGTCTCAGTGGTTGGAGGTGGTCCTCGGCAGGAGAGCTGATAGTAGTGTCGTGTTGTTCTCCAGTCTCCATGTGCCACCCCTATGTCGTACTTGGTTGGAAATTTCATGGCGAGGTGGTATGTTGAGACTGTGGCCTACAAGGCGTTTAGGGTCGATCTGTCAAGGATCACATTGTAAGAGGAGGGGCAACGCACCACGATGAAGGCTACCATGGTCGTCCTAGTGACGTCACCAGCTCCGATTAGGAGGGGAAGTCCTCCCAGTGGGCAGGAGGGACTCTCCCGAGAATCCCATCAAGGGAGTGTTGACCGGTGTGAGTCACTCTCTGTCGATGCCGAGCTTCTTGAATGCATCTTTGAACAGTACGTCGGTAGAGATCCTTGTGTCGACTAGGATCTGCTGCAGCTCGAAGTTAGCCACCTCAGACGTGATGACCAAGGTGTCATCGTGTAGTGTCTAGACCCCTCAGAGGTCATCGTTGGTGAAGGTGATAGATGTGTTGCGCTTCTTCTTGTGACCCCGATCGTCGATCTCGCACAGCCGAGCATATCTCTTCTGACCCGAGATACTCTCCCCTCTGGTGGCCATTCCCCCTAATATGACATGGATAACGCCGGTTGGGTGGTTTGGGGCGGTAGTTGTTGATCTTCATCCGTTCTCTGCTCTTCTTTGGCTGGCTTCTCACTTCTATCAATGAATTCGCTGAGGTAACCACGCCTGATCAGATCTTCAATATGGTTGCACAGGTTGAAACAGTTCTCCGTGTCATAGCCGTGGTCCTTATGGAACTCATAGTATTTGTCTCGATTCCTCTTGTTACTTTGCGTCTTCATCTTCTCGGGCCACTTGACATAGTTGTGGTCACAGACTTGCATCAGAATTTCAAACCATAGAATATTGAGCAGTGTGAAATTCCGGTAGGTCGGTGGAGGGGTCCAAGGTCCATGGTCTGGTCGGCGATCTTGTCTTTTGTGATCTCTATCCGACCTCTCGGACTTCCGCTCGTCGGTATCTCTCCTCTTCTTGTCAAGCTTCTCATCTTCATCTCTAAGCTGCGCCTGAGCCTCCTCGGCGTTGATATACTTTTGCGCGTGGCTCATTAGTGCAGTTAGCATCTGAAGAGGATTTTTGGAGATGAAGAAGTTGAACGGCGAAGGGAAGAGCCCGTGCTGTATGGCCGTAATTGCAACTGATTGGTTCAAGTCTTTGACCTGGAGTGCTTCCTTATTGAACCTCGCCAGGTAATCTTTGAGAGACTCTACTTTCTTTTGTTGGATTTGCATGAGGCTGGCCGAAGTTTTCTAGTGCTTCTAGCTAGTCGTGAATTGCACCAGAAACTAGGTCTCCAGCTGGTCCCATGACGTTATGGACCGTGGTGGCAGGGAGGAGTATCATGCCAGAGCTAGGCCTTGCAGGGTGGCTACAAGGGCTTTGCACATTGGTTCTTCTGACACACCGTACAACATCATCTAAGCTTTGAGTGCCACGGCATGGTCAAAGGGGTCAGAGTTCCCATCATATTTGTCGAATTGGGGGGCTCGCCATCCAGCAGGGGGTATCTTGTCCATGATGTCCTGGATGAAGGGCAGCTCCTTGGTGATATGTGCGGTTGCCCGCACAGGCTGGTCCATGGCGGGTGTCATGCTCTTGGGAGTCTGAATGCATTCCAGTTCTTCTAAATGTTGCCGGAGCTCTTTGATCTCAGCATCTCTGTTGTCCAGGGCCGCAATGTCTGTGGCCTTCTCCTTCTTAGGTTGAGTAGAGTGATCCTTTACTGAGCTTGACTCGGCAATGGAGACCACAAAGGGTAGCGTCCTCTTGTCGAACCTTTCTCTGGCGGGGATCCGAGCTGATTGGCATGTCTGGCTACAGTGATCCTGCTCATGGGAGCGGGTAGTAAAGGCGGGCCTTTGGGTCGTGTCTTGCTTTTCTCGCTTAGACCATGCTCCCCTCACATCAGACCGATGCACTTTGGGGTCCTTGGTCTGAGGATCGTCCTTCGTGCGCATCGGGGAGCGAGGGGGGACGACCTTGTTGGGCGGCGTAGCAGACCCCAATGTCTGCATGAACTCGAAGATCTTGTCGACCTTCTCTTGCATAGCTCGGAACTGCGCTGGGTCCACAGCGGCCGAGGGTTGTGGGGCTTCCTGATTCGAGGAGCTATGATGTCGGTTCTCTTGAGATGGGGAATGGCTTACTGATTGTTTAGACTTGTTTTTAGGCATCTTGATTGGTTTTGGGGCTGCGCATCAAAATATTTTTCGGGAAGGCTTTTTGTGCATTCCCACAGATGGTGCCAATCTGATGCTACTCAATCCGAGGTAGTGCACGAACTGAGGAGAGCAACTAGATAATCCTTGCTGCCTGGGCAGTGCCAAGCTTACAAGGACGCTATCGCGCTATGTAACCTGTGATCAAGAGAAGAAGTCAAAGCCCGAGGAGTTATCCCCGGGTAAGTACTCCGACGCTCAAGTCAGTGAGAGGGCAGTGAATGGTCGGGCTGAGCAATGAGGGTGCTGGTCCGAGCAAAGTAACGATATGGGTGCTAGAAGTTGGGATCCCTTACCTAGAGCATGGAGTACCTTTTCATAGCCGGGGGTTCATCTCCTAGCCGGATTAGGGTTTCAGGATAATTGGGATAGAGCTCTTCGCCGAGGTTGCTGGGGTAGAGTCCTACTCCTCGGCGGAGTTGTCTTCCCTCCCTTATCCGTAGTCGGGCCTATCCACGTGGCGTGTAGCTGACGTGGCTGGAGGGATAAAGAGGGGGACCACGGTAGTAACATAGCTCGCCGGGCTTTGCCGACATGGCCGAGCTATGCCGACGTGGCCGAGCTATGCCAATGTGGTCAGGCGATGACTGGGCAGCCACGTGTCTCTCTGGGCTAGCTCAGCCATGACCCCAACAAAGACCATCAGGACTCGGGGTCTTAATATCCTTCATCGAAAGTAGGGTATTATGAATTTCTTCATTTGTGACCTCTTTACAGAGATTATTATTAAGAGATTGAGAGGCACAACAATCAATATTTGAATTGAAATTGTCCACTTCCGAAGTGCCCTTAGAATTAAATCTATTTTCAAAACTACAACAAAACTTCTCCTTGATCCCTCAACTTCTTCAATCCATGATCCGTCCTCATTTCTAACTTTTCTAATTTTGTTCTTTTTTCTCCTAATTGTTGCAGTGGTGTGAAAGAGTTTATTATTTGTATCCCCAAGTTTAATCCAATCAACTCTAAAATTTTGAGCCCAATAAATTTCTTCTTTAGCTAGAGTGTTGTTGAGAAGTTTCTAAAGAGCATTCTCTTGATTGATGAGACTTCTGTTATTTGGATCACTTTCTAAATTGTCTTGGATCATCTCAATTTTTAACAATTACTCTTCTTTTGTTTTTCTGATATTTCCAAAATGATTTTTATTCCAATATTTGATTTCTCTAACAAGGTTATTTCTCTTTTTACAAAACTGCATGGCCCTAGAATCATTAATGTTAATATCCCAAGCCCTTTTGATCACATTATCAAAGCTAGGATCTAGGCACCACATGTCTTCAAATCTAAAAGGTTTAGGCCCAAAGGAAGCCTGAGAATATGTATGAAGTATCAAAGGAGTATGGTCAGAAGTCAAAAAAGACAAATTCGTTAACCTACATTCATTAAATTCACATCTCCATTCAACATTAGTTAGGACCCAATCAATCCTTTTCTTAGTATTACTATTCTTCCAAGTGTATTGGCTACCTTTCATATCTAATTCAATAAAATTACAACAATTAATCAGTTGATTAAAATTCCTGGTTTGAGAGGGCCTTACCTCCACACCACCAACTTTATTCTCTTTCCTTTGAGAGCATTAAATCCCCCATAACACTCCATGCCCCAGAAATAATATCAGCTATGTTTCTAATCCAATCCCACACCCTAATTTGATCAGTTTTACAAGGAGTATATGGCATGGGTTCCGCTAGTTATGAATGATAACGATGAAATGTTTCCAATGCAGGATGGAAATGTCGCTGTGAGGTTGGTGTGAGGCGCGTTCTGTGAGATGGAATGATAATCACAAATCGCCCATTTCAGGGGATCGCCACTCCCGATCCACCCCCGGGAATTAGGAAAAGGACACAACCTTCCCCCTCTCAAACCCTTCTCTATACTTAATTCCAAGCTTCGAACCCTCCCTCCATCTCTCTTCTCTCCCTCCTTCGGCGGCTGAACTCTGAACAATCGAACTGAGCTGAAATTCTGGCCAGGTAAGTCACCACCGGTTTCTCTCTCTCTCTTCCCTTCCTTCTTCTTCTTCTTCTTCTCTCTCACTCTTTTTTTTTCCTTCCTCTCCTTGTTTTTCTGCTACAGTTGACCAGGCCACCAGGGCACCATTTTCAAGTGCGGTCTCATCCCTGCAAATAATAACATTAGCAGTAATCAAGGTATGATTTAACATTGTTTTGAGTTTTGTAGTTTGTATTATTCTTTCTTCGGTCTCTCCTTTCTTTTTCTCTTCGATTTTTAAACCAAATCTGAACTTTGGTCTCGGTGGTAGGTTTTTCAAACTTATTGAGATAGGTTACTAGGTTTTGGTGGTAGGGTTATTAGTGCTTGAACCTATTTTCTCCTCACTCAGTGACTAGGAACTTTTTGACCCAAACGTTCTAGAGTTCGTAGTTGAATAGAAGAAGTTTTACTTTGATGTTTGTAATTAGTTAATTTATAATTTTCTTTGGGCATAAAAGGCAGATAATCGGTTTATACTGCCTAACTCTAACATATTTGAGTAGTAAAGAAGGACATTGATTCTACCAATATTTAACCGGTGATTCTTCTAGTGTCCTTTCTTGGGTTAAGTACGTAGAGGATGGGTTGAATACCAATGAAGTTTCATATTGTTAGAATGTAGTCACACTGTACTTTTAGGTGGTTGGTGCATATTGGTTTGGAATTGAAGTGAAACAGGAAATTCTTATTACTTGTGATTACACACGTAAACATTATACAATAAAACTGGATCTCATGGTCCATGATTGAAACACAAAACTTAAAAAAGAAAATAAGAAGAAGAAAGCATTACCATAGGAAGAGACCAAAGAGGTTAGAAGAGAAATAAAAAGCCATCTTGGTGGAATATTCTTCTTGATCTCTCCATTTGGTCCTCCTTTGGTCTATAAAATAAATAGTGCTAGAGAGGTGCAAGTCTAGTATAATGGCATCGATTTTGTTTGTTCTACAGGTGTTTTTGTTAATTTGATAATTATGATTAATTCTATAGTTGTAAAAGATATATCTCTCTTTTCTCTCTTTTGAGCTGTTATGGAGGCATCAACTATGTCCATTCTGGATATTGCATTTTAGAAGTAATCTTTTTTGTCTTCCCTAAGGAAATTTCTACAAAATGATCTTTCTCGATCAAAAAGCAAAACAAAAAGAAAAAGAAGTGTTACTTGATTTACTTATATTTTTTCATAGACTGGTTAATAATATAATCTTATCTCAAAACTAAATCAAGTTATAATTAGCCAATCCAAAACCCAAAATGACAGACTAGTTGGCTGACAAATTGTAGTTAGCATCAAGCAAGTATTATTTTATGCCACAAGATATTAACTAAGGTTTGATAGGACCCGAAATGGCTGGACTGAAAAACTTATTGATCTGCTTTTTAGTGAATAAGTTTTTAAGGAGTTTGTGGGATTCTCAATGGCTGAAATGAAGTTGTAGATTACTATGCCCCTGAGTATTGTATTAGTTTGTCCATTAAAAGAAAAAATAATAAGTTATTCAGTTTAGCAACTTCATCCATTATCAAACAGTTAGGCCCTAATAACCTTTCTTCACATTCCATTTTTGTTCTTGACCATTTCAAATAAAACGTGGAATATCTTTTTCTGATTTGTTTTTTTTTTGGGAATTAAATTTAATAACCTGATTGGTGGAGTTACTGTTAAAATAAATTAGGTTTTGGTTTGATTCCATTTCAATGATTCATGTTGTAGGAAGAAAACACCATAAGCTATGTTTGGTAAAAATCTGGAAAGCCAACATAGGCTTTCCGAACATCCAAACCACTGCTCAAATATGAATCTACTCTGAGTAGCTTCACTAGGAGCCCATTTGGGAGGGCGTCTACATTTGGGGTGTGTTGTGTTAATTGAGCTATTGGTGGTTGAGCACCGATGTTCCTGAGAAGCTACTCAGAATAGCTTCATATTTGAGCAGTGGTTTGGGTGTTCAAAAAGTCAATGTTGGCTTTCTGTATTTTTACCAAACACAGCTTCTGGTGTTCTCGTGTGAGGCCCAACTTGGAACCCCACAAGCTGCATGCCGAAAGCCCTCCCAAACAGGCACTAGAACACTTGTGCTCAACCATGGGGTGATCATTGGTTGGGTCGAGCCCAAGCCAGGCCTGATTATGGGCCTTATGTTTTCTATATATAAAATATTTACATATAGATAATATTTTACATTAAATATCATATAACATGCATATAGTTTTATTTTATACATCACATAATATAATATATTATGTAAAGTACATATTATAAGTAGGGGACCTAGGGGTGGTCATTTTCAGCACCCGATTTTTGCTCGGTCTGCTGCCCAAACCTCCAATTTGCCCCAAATACCCGATCAGACTCTTTCAATCTCTCAAAAACACCCAAAAACCCAAAAGGGGTGGTCATAAGCCTTTTCTAAATCAAACTTACAAATTAATCCCTTTTTCTTCTCCCTTATTTTAAAATCTACACATTCATTGGCAATGAGAATTTGATCCATTATTTGTCTCCCAAAAACAAAGGCCACTTGATTTGGAAAGATCATTGAGAGAAGTACATTTTTTATTCTTAGGGCCAAAACTTTGGAAATGATTTTGTACATGCTTCCTATCAGACTTATGGGCCTAAAGTCCTTCGGCTGGATTGCGTGCACTTTTTTTAGTATCAAAGCAATGAAAGTTGCATTTGCACCTGAGTTAAATTTGCCCCTCTCATAGAATTCATCAAAAACCTCCATCAGGCCACCCCCGATTATCTCCCAACAATTTTGATAGAACGGCATCATAAAACCATAAGGTCCTAGGGCTTTAGATCTCTCCATCTAGAAGACTGCATTTTTCACTTCCCAAACCTCAAATTTCTTTTCCAAGGATTCTATCAACTCTTTATTTCCAGCTCTCCATTCCAGGCCCTCTAAATCTTCTCTTGAACTCGGGCCCTCATTGAGTGTTTTGAAATGGTTTACAAAGGCTTGAGCTATGTCCTCATCTCTTGCCAATACTTGCCCATTCCATTCCAATTTCATCACTGAGTTTTTCCTCTTTCCCCCATTCACCAACATAAGGAAAAAACTAGTATTGCCATCCCCTTCCCTGGGCCATTGACATCTAGATTTTTGTCTCCAAGTAACCTCCTCTTTTCTTAGAATGTCTTCTAGATCCTTTTTCAACCTCCATCTGTCTTGGTTTTCAAATTTCAGCCAAGAATTGGAGAAATAACATCATCTGTCTTGGTTTTCAAATTGGTATCTGATTCCATTTTTTGTCTAAAATTGTTTGTTTTTAATGACATATAGTGTTATCAAATGCATCTTAATTCAATATGACAATGCTCATGGGTATTTTATAATAATTTGAAGGGAGAAATACTTAAACCTCCCCTAGATGTTTCTTATAAATACTGAATCCTCCCCTTACTTTTTTCAGAGGACCTAACCTCTCTTTTGGCTGATGTGGCAGGACAAGAATAACCCCTCAATTGATCTGGCATTAATTAGTCTTCTCTAACCACAATATTCTGCTGTTGCAAATAGCTTAGGAGTTAGGATTTAGTGAAGCAGTCATTTTAGAGCTAATAGTAATTTTGGTTTCTGTTTATTTTTTATTTTTATAAAGGGGTATTTTTGATATCATGTCAAGAGCCCTGTTAGTTCTTGGAGGATGTTAAGAAACTGAAGATCTAAATTGTTTTTTCGTAATTTACTTCATTGCTCTGCTCTATGTGGCCAGAGTATTGCATTCAACCCCCTAAAGCTTAATTGTATTACATCCAACATGACTGACAGTGATCTCCTCAATCTTTAGATAATTTTTCAAATTTGAACCCCAAAACTCCCATAGAAAAAGGTCATTGTTTTGCCATGTGTCATATTATGTGGTGGTAAAATTTTGTCACCTACTCAGCTGTCTGACTTGGCAATTGGCATAGAAGCAGCAAGTAGCTATATAAGAGATAGATGACAGTCATGAGGACGGGGTATGTGGCTACCAACTGGACTGTTGTCTTTTTGGTAATCATCTGTACTGTTGTCAAATGCCATTTATTTTATATATAAGTGAAGGTAGGAACTTAGTATAGTGAGACAAATTACCAAACATATGGTGATATCATCTCATCATCATGTCCTCTTCCTGTCATACCCATGCCTATAAATAGGATATCCAGAGAAGGCCTCTCTTGTGTCTCAGTTGCCAAATAAAAAAAAAAAAAAAGAGAGAGAAGTCGAAATATAAGATGTGGATTGTTTACATCAGGTGATCTCTTAGCAAGAAGAGAAGAATCCAGATGAAGAAATGTGTTTTGCAGTGAAGTGTTCATCATGTGGAAAGAGCTTATGGGCTGGATGTGGAAGGCATGTTGCCTCTGTTTATAAACAGATTCTGGAAAGACAACACTGTCTTTGCCGTGAATGGCCTGGCGTTCAGCCTGTTCCCCAGTCTACCCCTGTGGATTCTGGTATTGCCCAAGATGCTGGTTCTGCAGTTTGTGGTGATGATAAGCATAAAACTTCATGCTGTTCTGTCTCTCTCCCTCCTGTGGTTCTGTGACCAGGGCAGCAAAATGTAGTAGAAAATTACAATAAAAAAATGGGCAAATGCTGGTTTTCTCTTGTTGTATCTTAATCTATTTAAAATATAAATTGAATAAATCTGAGTCTTCTATTAGTATCAGTGGCTAGCTAGAAATAAATTAGCTGAAAATATTCACAAGGACATAAGAATCTTCTAAAATCAACATTTTCAGGAACAAAATTGTCCATTCCTCAGATTTTATGGATCCAAATGTCTCACAAATTGCTTTTATCCGAGTGGCATTTGGTTGCACTAGGAGCTTAAACATAGGTGACTCATTTGGCATGATTAATAAAGGACAATCTCCACGGATTTCTTCCAAATCCCTTGGCCCATCTGATGGCCAAAAAGGAGCACCATCACCTAGAATTTACTGAGTCCACCTCTCCAATGACTTCATTGTACACCCCCACTGTATTTCCTTCTCTGTACTCCATTATCCATCCTAAATGACCCAGGTTGCTCAATCAACCAACATCAAATCTTAATTGAAAATCTTCTTATTGTTATGGACCATCATAATGCCATATACGAACCACAGTTGTAGAAGCTTGCAGAATTGAAAGCAATCCGTACTGTTACCAAGCCTAACCCCTGAAGTCTCCTTCTGGATCTGCTAGAAACAAGAAGTGTAACATGGGCTTGTAAAACCCAATCAGAAATAAAAGCGCCAGCAATACTGTCAACAAATTTGTAGCAACTGATACATTACTTCTGATTAGATGTTACTAGTCCATGTTACAATCTTTTTCTAGTAGATCCAGATTCCTTTATTTTGGCAATTCCAACACACTTAAGAGTGGAGTCCACTCTCTTGGATGATGGAACATTTGAAAAATGATTGATAGGTCCCTACTCCTTTGGCAGAGAAGAAAAGCATGGAGGTAGAAGTATGTGCAGCAAAGTCCACTTCTTCGTCAACACCACAAATGTTTATTTTCCTGCAGACTGCTTCCCATATGAAGAATTTCACTCTTGAAGAGGGTTGGGGCAATAGAAAACCAGGTTGACATATATGATGCAACAACATGCCAATTTCTAATTATATCCTTGGTAGAAAATGAAGAGAAAACATCCATGGACCTCACTCAATGCACAATAATATATTCAATGATCTTGTGATTGCATCCTCTCCTTAAATTGTAGCATTTCCTTTCTTCCCACATACACCACAGAATGGCAACCCAAGTGTATTGCTATAAAATTTTCCCTCTTGTGTGTGGAGAAAAGAAAGTGGTGCTGAACAAGCTATGCCCAAGAGCAGCCAGCTTTCAGCCAAATAAAGAAGAGAAAAACTCCCAGATATTAGAACAACAAAGCATGAGATTAGCAGGTGATCAATAGTTTAACAGCTTGCTCTAAAAAGAAAGCACATGCTGGGAGACAAATGCCAGTAAGTTATTTAACAAAAAAGACAAATACCAATTAGGCCTTCTCTTCTATAGATTCTCAGAAATGATGATCTGCTTTTTTATCAGCTTACAAATGATGATGTTTTTTTTTTTTTTTTTTTTTTTGTGCATGACCTTTGAGCAGGAAGTCCTAACCTTTGGGGAGAACCAGACCATTCCAAATAGCGTTAACAGAGAAAACTGAAGGAGGTGAAGGAGATAAAGATAAGGATTTAAAGAAGAAAACACAAGAAAAAAAATACCAGATGAAACAATGGATCAAATTTTGATGCCTAATTAGGAAGTTTCTGGGAACACACCCTTTGAGGGTTCAATGAGAGACACACCATAGGAGTCTTGAAGTCCCTTTGAACCCCTTCTCAACCCTAAAGTACACACTAGACCTTGGTCAGTAAGGAAGCACTTTCAGAAAAAAAAGTTATATTTCTAAAATTTGGCTCTTTTTTTTTTTGATGAATCATAAAAATTTTATTAGGATGAAAATAAAGTAAACTGACAAGTGAATACAATCCGGAGTTCTCCCTGAAGGCGCAAGTTGCTGCCTTCTCAACCCCTTCTAAAATTTGGCTCTACCAATCAACAACATATCAATCAACATGAGTAGAAGTAGTAAGAAATGATTTTAAGCATAAATAATTTAACAGTGGATATGGCTATAAATAGAATGGATTGGTAGTGAATCAGGATTCATGTAGCCAACCCCATATAGTTGGGATAAGGCATGGATGATGATAATGACTCAAGAACATATCAATGCGAATAAACTGAACGAATGAAGGGAGAACGGTGTATTACCTTTCCAAGGTAAAGGGAAAGAAGCTCTATAATGTAAACTTGCATCGCAGCCATTATCCAACAAGCCATGAAAACTCTTCATATTGTGCCACAACTTCCTTCTCTCCAAGGGAAATCTTTGAAGACACTTCCCTAAGAGAGAGAGGTTCCCAAATACAAGTTTATCTAAATCTAAGCGTCCTCTTTTTTTGTGTCTAACAGAAAATCTCTCGTAATCCACCCATGGAAGATGCATCGTGCATGTTTCACAACACACTTGCACATTAGGTGAAACAGGTGTTTTCAATTTTATAGGTTCTCCCATGCATTGAGTTGGGTTTTGTCCAAGCCATAGAGTGATACAACTGAGCAAGTGGCTTAATTTTATGATCCCAGTGCTCTTATACTTGGGGTACTTCTCCAAGTACTCAATTGTTTCTCTTTAAAACCATCATGGCACATCCATTGGATAAACTTGTATAATTGCAGACAAAACTGAGTGATCTATGTTATCTGGCTTTCTTTCTAAATGGTTATGTAGTTAGATATGCATATTAACTTAAACAAGCTTATCTGTACATTTATGAGCCCATAAAATGACATGGTAATCAAAGGATCAATAAAAGACTGATGAGGTGCAAGCTCCTAGAATTGTGCCTTCTGGATCATGCATGCCCAGATATTATCTTATTATTAAGATAAAGAAACAATAGTACAAGGTTATGAAATGCAATATCTAATCTTTTTATTCATTCCAATTTTATGATGTTTAATTGCATATATGTAAATATTTGTTCTTTTTCCCTAGCATATTGAAAGCATATAAACTATATTCTGTATACTTTAGGGATAAAGAAATGGCAATGAGCTGCATGAAATCATTTAGAAGCTTCATCATCAGTAAGGAAGCGTTTAGGGTCGTTAACTGCAGAACATTTTCAGCAGCTGGTGGTAAGGCAAAGAAAGGTTCAAAAGGTGGTGCTGGCGACGCTCCAAAAGCATCTATACTGAGCAAAGAAATGAAATCCACTACTGTGGTCGGTGCTAATATCCTTAAGGATGGTGCAGATCCCAAGATCCTGCCAGACTCTGAGTACCCAGATTGGCTGTGGCACCTGCTCGACAAGAAGCCTGCATTGAGTGAACTTAGAAGGAAAAACATAGAAACTCTTCCATACGATGAACTCAAGCGCTTTGTTAAGCTGGATAACCGAGCTAGGATTAAGGAAAATAATGTTATCAGGGCCAAGAATTGATTTGTTTATCCTCTAGTAAATACCTTCAAGCTATTGATACGTGTTCAATGAAACTGAAGTTGTTTTCATGATTGGAAATTTGTCAGTGAAACTGAAGCTGTTTTCATGGTTGGACATTTGGAATTTGGAACTGGAGGCAGTTTACTAGTTCTTATAACTGGAAGTTAATTATTTGTTGCTGGAGAAAACCGTGTAAATTTCAGTTTTCAGTCCCTTAGGCTGCTTTTGCTTTCGGTGTAAACTTCATTGATGGAGTTCAATGCCGATGGGTTTAAATTAGTGAATCGTTGGAGTGTGATAATCGATGTAAAACTCGACCATGAAACAAACGTATGAAATACAGACCGGGAGTGGAGTTTTACATTGGTCTGTATTTAAATTTTACGTTGATTTGCATTTACATTGCAAGTAAGAATAGCCCTAGCGTTGTTTAAAGAATGCAATCAGAGACTTAGAGGGTGTGGAATAATTAATAATTAAATTCCCCGTTACGTGCTAGGATAAGTATAACATGAATTTATTTTTTTGTGAGATTTCTGTCACTTTTTATTTTGTTTTATTCTTTAATTTTGTTTTGTGTTTTGATTACATATGTACATATATAAAAAGGGTTTTTTACAAAAAAATTAGTTTAATTAGTAAAATCAGATACGTTTGCAAATATATTGTAATAACAAAAAATTTATTTTTAGGGGCCAAATTATCCTTTCTTAAATTTTGCACGTCAACCCAAAGGTACTGTTCATTGTTTCCTTCCTTGAATGCCACAACAGCCATGGAGCAAACTTTCTCTCTCTCTCTCCTCGTCCTCCTCTTTCCCATCTTTTTCCACTTTGGCCAGGTCCAAACCCCACCGAAAATCAAAACAAAACAGAACTCAACCACGCCTTCTATCCTCAAACCGAAACAGAGTAGCAAAACCACCGGTCCCCACCTCTTTTCCTCTTTGTTTTACCCTCACTTTCTTCTTCTTCTTCTTCTTCTACCTCCATTGCTGCCATCACCTTTGTTGTTTCTTGAAAGAAGTAGAATGGGAGACAGCAGTACAATTAATCAAAGAAACTCTTCCGATAACCCCACTTATTTGTAAACCCAAGGTCTTAGAACATTTGAAGAATCATTCTTTACTCCATTATCGATTGATCCATGGATGATTGGCGACCAACCCAGTACAAAATCTCTTGACAATAATATCAGGTGCCAATATTTTGACAATAATCCCCTGAACAAGACGATCAAATCTCCTTTCTAGATGTCTTTGCTTTGGAAAGATCTACCTTGATAACCTGTATCCGAGTTTTTCTTCAATCGATTTGATATGTTATTGGGAGTCTTCTGCGAAAATGACTGTAGAAGAGAGCAGCAACTTTGAGCTTTCCAAAGCTGCACAGTTAGGTCAAGCAGTTTTGGTGCCACCATTGAATGCATCTCATCGTCACGGTTTACAGACTTCTTCCTCTTGTTAATATGTTTCGGTAGCTTGGTAGCTCTGACAGTAAAACGAAATTAGCTTTTGCATAAAGATTTGAGCTGAGGCGAAAACTTATTTGAAACTTCCCAAAATGTGTTTTTTGTGTCTTTTGGGTTCTATCTTTTAGTAGCTAAATCTTTGGTGCGCCAAATAGTAATAAACTAAAAGTAGTCTTCCCCACTTATAAACATCCGAAAGACACACCAAATGGGCCCTTTTTTGGGATTATAGCTGATATGGAAAATTTTTGGGCCCTAATATCAATAAAAATAATCTTTTTAAAATATATTAATTTTTCTTAAGATATGTCAAATAGGGGTAAAAATATTGTTCATCCTCTTCTTCCTCCAAACCACCGAATAAATCTTAATAAATATTTTCCCCATCTTGCTTCTGTCCTAGCCCCACAAACCTCAATAACCACCATCCACTAGCACCACTGTTGTTGTCGCCGCTCCCGCCCACCTCCAAGAATACCAATCTGACGACATGCCTCTACTACACCAACCAGTGGCGGGATTGGGATGAATACATTCAAGTGGAAAAGAATAAACAGAGGCTTTCTGAAGATGGCGAGGAGATCATCATCGTCATCAATGTCGTCAGCTTCATTTGGGTGCAGCTCATTGGTGATGGAGTGGGCAAGTAGTATGGATGAGAGCGAGTTGCAAAGCCCATTTGGGTTTTGTTTGCTGGTTTATGCCTAGAAGAATTAAATTAAAGATCAATTGGTGCATCCTTAGAATAGGGTTTTGTTTGCAAAGCCCATTTGGATTATGGATATTCAGTATTTCTTTTTACAAGGGTGAACAAAAAAAGTAGAGATTTATTCAATGGTTTGGAGGAGGAAGAAGGCGAACAGTGTTTTTTCCCTTTTTTGATATATTTTTAAAAAGATTAACCTATTTTAAAATTTATATTAAAAGGATTATTTTTAGGGAGAATGATGGTTCAGCCCAGGGTCAAAATTTTTTGGCCCAAAGTATAGTTGGGGTAGGTTCCAACTTGGAGTTATGCCAATTCATGGGCGGGCAATGGTGTATAGAGTGGGGGGTTTTGACATTTTGGATGTTTATAGGTTTGTAGTGGAATTCAGAAATCTGCGTTGGGCCTGTCCGTACTTTTTCATTATTTTTATTGATATTAGAGCCCAAAAGTTGCCCTTATCAGCTATAATCCCTTTTTGGTCATATCTTTCTAAACATAATTGAATTTGCAAAATTTACCTGTCATTTATTTTGCAAAAAGTCCTATATAAAAATTAGATTTTGGATTTAGTTATACCTATTTCTTCTATTTCTAGAATACATCTTTTTAGAGGTGTAAATCGAGTTGTGTTGCCCGTGGCCCGGCCCGATACAATTGTATGGACCAGTGAATCGTGTCGGGCTTGGGGTTTCAAGTCAGCGGACCAGTCGGTACGGCTTGCAATGTCGTGTCGTGCTGCCCGTGGCCCGTGGGTTGGCATGACCCGACACGACCCATATATATAATTATATATTATATAAATTATAATTATATAATAATATAGTATATAATATATTAATAAAATAAATATTTTTTTCAATTTTATTATACTATTTTATTTAATTATTGTATACATCAAATTTCGTATAAAAATAAAATTTTAAGTTCTTTTTTTCAATTTTTTAAAATAAATAACTTTGGCCCAATGCATAACCCAGCCTGGCCCAAGGCTTAACCCATGGACTAGCCTGACATGGGCCCATGTTAGGCTGACCCCCCAAAATATCCTAGGAGAGGGAGGCGTGCTAGTCCAGCACGACTCGTTTTACACCTCTACATCTCTTGTTTTATACTTAATTTTTGTATATTTATGCTAATTTTGTATGATTGAAAATGTATGATACCGAAAAGACAAATTATTGGAACAACTTTGACTAATCAAATTAGAATCCAAATCTCCTACCCCAGGACACTACAACTATAGATTGGAAACATCTCCCCATGAACACTAACAAGGAAACACGAAATATGTTCCCAACGTACAGCTGTGGGGGTCAAAATATATATTTGATATTTTTCAGAATTCAAAGTTCAGAATTCAAAACAACATTCTCTGCATTCAGAGTTCAAAGGAAATAAAAGTTCACCAATACCAATATAACTCTTAATGTAATTATTACACTTTTAAATGTCAGACTTTAGAATAAACGAACAGACCCGTAATATGCTACAGGTAGGTGTGGATAGGAGATCCAAGCCTATCAAATCACCCAAATAATTGTCATCAATACGAGATGATTAATCACCTCTTTTATGATACTGTAAGTTATTTTTGAATGGGCTACGTTTTTCTCATATTATAGTCGAATCCATTTTTTTATCTTTCCACAAAAATTGAACCATCATAATCCGTACTGCTAAAGTGGAGAATACCTGCTTGATCCTCAAACCTTTCTTTTATGATAAATTTATCAAAATTCACGAATAAGTTTGATTAATCAAAATTCTTTCCATACCAAATTTATTCGGCATCATAGATTTTCCCTTTTTTACAAATACTAAAACATTCCCTCACTAATTTTAAAGGTCTCTAACGACCCCTATTGAGTAAGATGGCAGGATAGGAACCACCCTTCACTTGTTCCATGTTAATTGCTACATGGTTCAAACTTCAAAGTATTTTAGAACCCCTTGATACATACGTTCTCAAATTACAGAACTGAAAAAAATAAAAAATAAAAAGGAAACAAAGTGTATCCATGTTAGAAGAACGCGTCCATATATAATTGCAGTTAAAATCTGATTACACATGACATCAAACTTTTTACTAAAATTCTAATGGTCCCCCTATTTTGATTGACTCTAAATCAATATATCAAAATGCGGGCTTATTTTAATATGTATAAATGCTACTTCTCAAATCAAAAGAAATGTAAAGTGTCATGCAAGTATATTTTTATAGTTTGGAAGTTCAATCACCAAATATTAATTCCTCCAAAAATTAATCCTGTTCAAGGTTGAAAGTATCCAACACTTGCTATTCAAAATTATCGAGGTATTTAAGTAGGATATTCTTTTTTTTTATGTCACGTTTTTGGTCTTACAATTTATAAACCGTGAAATATAGATTTTTATTTTAACATATTAATTAGAAATTTAGAACTACTTCTAAGTATTCAAAGCATGGATGACCCTGAAACAGGCATGTATCAAACAATATGCATCAATTGCATTACTTTGAACCTTGGTCCTTGTTAGCCACATATCACTTAATAATTTTATTTATTGAAGTTTTGGAAAGGCAAACTCTCTGTGCTGAAATTTTCAAGTCCCGATACTTTCCAACTACTAATCTGCAAATTAAGTGTGAGAGCCAAATCAGAATGCTCTTGGAGATATGGAAAATCATCTTGTATGGCCTAGATATTCATAAAAAAAGATATTATTAGCAAACTGGAGATGGTCTAAGTGTAAATTTATGATCAGACCCTCGTCTTCCGGACTGTGAGGAGCATATGATTCCGTACTTGCTCCCAGGGTCTGTGAAATATCTTTAGTTGGAGATTTGATTGATCAGGAAAAACACATGATGCTGTTCGATCCGATGTGTCTTGAATAGAGGTCATAGTTGGATAATTTTGTCAAGTGGATGAGGTCAAGGTGGAAGGACGAAGCCGTGTGTTCCAAGATCTAAAACCAAAAAAATAGTTAGAGGCCCGAAGAGTTATTCTCCGGGTAGGTACTCTGATGTTCAAACTAGTCGAGAACGGTGGGTGGTTGGGCCAAGCAATTGAGAGCAGTGCTGGTGCGAGCAAAATAGCAATATGAGTGCTAGAGTTAAAAGTCCCTTACCTTGAGTGGAGATTACCTATTTGTAGCCAAAGATCTGTGTCTGATTTGGACGAGGCTTCCGGGGTTATCGGGATGAGGTTGTCCGCCAAGGTTT